CTATGCTGGTTTTCCTGGTACTGTGTTGAAGGTTTCTGACTGTGTTAATGTTTCTGTTTTTTTGCTTTCTTCCTGTGAGATGAGTAAATCCATTATTCCCTCCTCAATGTCATCAGTTTTTTTTCTAATGTATCCCAAATTTTCTGGAGAGCAAATTTAGTGAATTTTCATGTAGGTGTATGATGATAAACCAAGAATTTCTCTGTGATTTATTCATGTACTTTTACTTCTTTATTGATATTTCTTACATCCTATATTGCTGCCATCATATGTTCATTTAATTATCTGAACTGTTTCTTTGTAATTTCCATATATTTATAAATAGTACTATAAAATGCTTTTTTTCTTCCATCCAAGTACTAACCAGGCCCGACACTGCTTAGCTTCTGAGATCAGACGAGATCGGGCCAGTTCAGGGTGGTATGGCCGTAGACTAAAATGCTTTTTAGCTAATAAACATAACATTCTTATCTCAGTAGAAGTTTATATTGACTTATGCTTTCTCCAAGTATGGAAGAGATTGCCAGTTTCTTTTCATGTTTTTTTTTTTTAATTTTTAGGTAGATAGTTTTGATAATATAATTTAGTCATCATGCAGTCTATTTCATATTATTAGATTTGTATTTTTTGTAAGTTGCACAAATTTTATTGCAGGATTTCTTCCCTCAAATCTGCCTGCTAATATTTTTGTTCAGTGTTACCAAATTCTTATATTTTAGCCTGCATTCCTAGGGATTCTCCTTGTGACTTTGTAGCTTAGATGTTACCTACAAGTACTCTTAAAAACTGTGTTCATGGGCGCATTTAGGCCATTCACATTGAGAGTGATTATTGATAGATACGTTTTTATTGACATCGTGTTACCTTTGAAGTCTTTCTTTCTGTAGATTGTCTCTATATTTCTGTTCAATGCTATTCTTAGGATTTTTCCTCTTTTATAGAACCCCCCTTAATATTTCCTGCAGTGTCGGCTTGGTGGTTGCATAGTCTTTTAAGCTTTGCCAGATTTGGAAACTCTTTATCTCTCCATCCATTTTGAATGTCAGTCTTGCTGGATAAAGTATTCTTGGCTGCATGTTATTCTCATTTAGTGCCCTGAATATATCTTGCCAGCCCTTTCTGGCTTGCCAGGTCTCTGTGGACAAGTCTAATGTTATTCTGATGGGCTTTCTTCTGTAAGTAAGGAGCCTCTTTGTCCTAGCTGCTTTCAAGAGATTGTATCTACAATTATGATTCCTCAATTTGACTATCAGGTGCCTTGATGTTTTTCTGGAATCTATAATCTTGGGTGGAGACCATTCGGCCTCTAGTACATGAACGCTGGTTCCATTCGCAAGATTGGGAAAATTTTAATGAAGAACTTGTTCCACTATATCTTCTAGACTTCATTCTTTCTCCTCCCCTTCAGGGATTCCAATAATTCTGACGTTAGAACGTTTCATGGCATCATTTATTTCCCTGATTCTGTTTTCATGGTTTCTAAGCTGTTTGTTCCAGGCTTCCTCTTGGTCCTTTCTCTCTATCTGTTTGTCCTCCAGATTGCTAATTCTATCTTCTGTCTCAGTTACCCTAGCTTTGAGAGAATTTAGATTAGATTGGAATTCATTGAGAGCATTGTGAACCTCAGCCCTGGTAGCTTTTAGCTCTGCCCTAACATTGTGAACATCCTGTCTGGTCGCTTTCAGCTCGGCCCTAATCAATTCCGTTTGGTCATCCATGGCTTTCTCCAACCTAGCTATTGCCTGGATATTGAAATACAGAAAGGGAAATTAGAGAATTGATTCCATTTACTATAGCACCAAGAACCATAAGATACCTGGGAATAAACCTAACCAAAGAGGTAAAGGATCTGTACTCGAGGAACTACAGAACACTCATGAAAGAAATTGAAGAAGACACAAAAAGATGGAAGACCATTCCATGCTCTTGGATCGGAAGAATAAACATTGTTAAAATGTCTATACTGCCTAGAGCAATCTATACTTTTAATGCCATTCCAATCAAAATTCCACCGGTATTCTTCAAAGAGCTGGAGCAAATAATCCAAAAATTTGTATGGAACCAGAAGAGACCCCGAATCGCTAAGGAAATGTTGAAAAACAAAAATAAAACTGGGGGCATCACGTTACCTGATTTCAAGCTTTACTACAAAGCTGTGATCACCAAGACAGCATGGTACTGGCATAAAAACAGACACATAGACCAGTGGAACAGAGTAGAGAGCCCAGATATGGACCCTCAACTCTATGCTCAGTTAATCTTTGACAAAACAGGAAAAAATATACAGTGGAAAAAAGTCTCTTCAATGAATGGTGCTGGGAAAACTGGGTAGCTATATGTAGAAGAATGAAACTCGACCATTCTCTTACACCGTACACAAAGATAACCTCAAAATGGATAAAAGACCTCAACATGAGACAGGAATCCATCAGAACCCTAGAGGAGAACATAGGCAGTAATCTCTTCGATATCAGCCACAGCAACTTCTTTCAAGATATGTCTCCAAAGGCAAAGGAAACAAAAGCCAAAATAAACTTTTGGGACTTCATCAAAATCAAAAGCTTCTGCACAGCAAAGGAAACAGTCAAGAAAACAAAGAGGCAACCCACGGAATGGGAGAAGATATTTGCAAATGACAGTACAGACAAAAGATTGATATCCAGGATCTATAAAGAACTCCTCAAACTCAACACACACAAAACAGATAATCATATCAAAAAATGGGCAGAAGATATGAACAGACACTTCTCCAATGAAGACATACAAATGGCTATCAGACACATGAAAAAATGTTCATCATCACTAGCCATCAGGGAGATTCAAATTAAAACCACATTGAGATATCACCTTACACCAGTTAGAATGGCCAAAATTAGCAAGACAGGAAACAACATGTGTTGGAGGGGATGTGGAGAAAGGGGAACCCTCTTCCACTGTTGGTGGGAATGCAAGTTGGTGCAGCCTCTTTAGAGAACAGTGTGGAGATTCCTCAAGAAATTAAAAATAGAACTTCCCTATGACCCTGCAATTGCACTACTGGGTATTTACCCCAAAGATACAGATGGAGTGAAAAGAAGGGCCATCTGTACCCCAATGTTTATAGCAGCAATGGCCATGGTCGCCAAACTGTGGAAAGAACCAAGATGCCCTTCAACGGATGAATGGATAAGGAAGATGTGGTCCATATACACTATGGAGTATTATGCCTCCATCAGAAAGGATGAATACCCAACTTTTGTAGCAACATGGACGGGACTGGAAGAGATTATGCTGAGTGAAATAAGTCAAGCAGACAGAGTCAATTATCATACGGTTTCACTTATTTGTGGAGCATAACAAATAGCATGGAGGACATGGGGAGTTAGGAGAAGGCATTTGGGGGAAATTGGAAGGGGAGGTGAACAATGAGAGACTATGGACTCTGAAAAACAATCTAAAGGGTTTGAAGAGGTGGGGGGATGGGAGGTTGGGAGAACCAAGTGGTGGGTATTAGAGAGGCACGGATTGCATGGAGCACTGGGTGTGGTACAAAAACAATGAATACTGTTATGCTGAAAATAAATTAAAAAAATGATTTAAAAAAAAAAACTGTGTTCAAAGTCTGCAGGTGAATAGGACTTCCATGCTCTGCCATGAGATGTGTGTGTGTGTGTGTGTGTGTGTGTGTGTGTGATTGTGTGTGCGCACACATATGAGTGTGAGAAGGAAGTGCTCACAACTGGAATATCAGTTCTCAAATCTCCTGCTTTTACTTTCTACTGATCTCCTCTTCATGTATGCATAATTATTTTTCCATCAACCAAGAGTGTACAGAGAGCTCATGTCAACTCTTCTGTTGTTCTTTCATTAATAACATTTTCCTATTATATTTATGGGAGCCACAGTGCTTGACAGAAAACCTGCAACCTCCAACATTTTTTTTTTTTTTCTGGAGTGGAAAGAATTTTATTGATACCTGAGAAAAAGTGCAGGAGAAACATTCCTACTGACCATGTAGCCTGCCCCTTGGGCTGGACTAGGCCCCAAGACTTCTCTCATCCTGCTTTTGAGATTTGGGTCATTTGGGGCCCAACTGATGAATACCAAAAGGCTGGGGAAGTAGGCAGCCAGAGTCTGGAGAGACAGCCTGTGCAGTCATGGTTCCTGAGGCCAGGGCAGGGTCAGCAAGGAAGACATGCTGATCAAGACCTAGAGTCTCTTGGGTCACAGCCCCAATTCCAATGAAAAACAACTCCTTCCAACCTCCTGGTTTCTAGCCAGCAGGGCTGTCATCTTCTCCTGACACACGTATGGGTTTTTGTCATTCATTAACAAGCAAAATCATCACTCTGAGCTGAAAAGTCAATGGGCTATTTCAGTCCCTTCCCCACTGCTGATTGAGTCTCCCCTGTGGCACCAGCACAATTGCTTTCTGCAGCTTCTCCAAATTGTGGAACTACAAGCTTCTGGATCACTGAGATACAGTGGGAAGGCAGGGAGACAAGGGAGCAGTGCTGGGCAAGAAGACTACAGATGCACTTCTTTTCACTTAAATCTCTAGGAGGTTTTCAATAATAGCTATTTCATAAAATATTATTAGCCCTTGATCAATTATCAGAACTCTGACATTGTTGCCTTTGTCAGTTTGTTCTCTTCATTTATTTCTACTAAGTTTTTTTTTTAAAGATTTTTCTTTTTTCATTTGACACACAGAGACCACAAGTAGGCAGAAAGGCAGGCAGAGAGAGATAAGGAGGCAGGCTCCCTGCTGAGCAGAGAGCCAGATGCAGGGCTTGATCCCAGGACCCTGGGATCATGACCTGAGCCAAAGGCAGAGGCTTCAACCCACTGAGCCACCCAGGTGCCCCTCTACTAAGATATTTTTATAACATGTCCTGTGTGTAACATTGCTTGAAAATTTGAAAGAATCTATAAAGTCAGAAAGAATTACCTATGTTTGTTTTTGCAAAATTCAAATAAAAGCTCTTATTTGACTTCTAAAAAATTTTTTTTTCTCCTAGTATTTGTTGAGCTTCCTCATTCGTTCTTCATGGATTAGTAGAGATTTCCGGAACATCAGTATTAATTCATCTGTGTGGCCAAAAGTCTCCACCTCCTTTCCTAAAGTGTAAGTTTCTTGACCACTTGTTTTATGTCTTAAGAGGATTAATCTTACAAAGAATAAAAGCAATATGTGAACAATTATATAACACAATTATGAAAAGTTTCCATAAAAAATGATATGGGAAATATTCAGATTTAGATGTACAGCTATTAGTCTAAATCAACTATTTATTCTTTAGTATATTGTGATTCATATTTTTTAAGATAATGAGATCTAATTCTCTGTATTTTAGGTCATCGATTTCTTCAGAGAGTGACAAGAAGTGTCCCTTTTTCAACTTTGACTCAAAGAAAACTTCTTTTGAACCCTGCTTGAATCAAAAAAAATATGTTTGTAAGCTCTGGGCATTTTAGTCACCTAATTTTGGTATAATGCTATCTTACCAACTATAAAGAACATATTTCTTATTTTTTCAAAAGTCATACAGTTATTATCTCATAATATATTTCAGATATAATTTTTAGAGCAATTTTCAGTTCACAACAAATTAAGAAGAAGGTACAGAGATTTCCTCTATTACCCCTGAATACACAAGTGCATGGCCGCACCAGTTATCAGCATCACTCACTAGAATGTTTTTTTACTGAAGGTCCCACTAAGTTGGCTGAAGAGTGGGGGACTCCATTTCAACCAGTCTCCTAAATTTAGCTAGGGATCTACCAAGCCACTTTGGACACCCATGAAATCAGCCTGAGATATAAGATTATACACGTCTGGATCTCTATGGGGGCTAAGGATCATCTGTGGAGAAGTTCAAAAGATGGAGTTGGGTTTGCACAGACAGGTTGCAGGACAGAAAGGGGGAGAGCCAAAAGAAACCAGCCATTGGAAATTAATACCCCAGGTCAAAAGCACCCTGGGCTCGGGGACCAGTGATACCTTGGAGATAGGTGGCTGCAAGACAGGAAGGGACTGATAACACTGTTCAAAAAGAACAAAGGGGCTTAAGGGAACTGCAGGGACCAGGTGGCCTAGATGTGGACACATGGACTGGCCACGACCACTGCCCACCTGTGCCTGACAGGACCCAGTGGGGATTTGAGTCAGTGGTCCCTGGGGCTTGGCAGCTAATGCTGCCACCATAGTCACCTCCGCCACTATTGCTGCCACTGCAGCTGAAAGGACCCAACTTTGTCTGGAGACCACCGTCCTGGGAGCAGTAGCCACCACGGCAGATCTCGCCCAAACTGTTATCACTCATGTTTTTTGTGGCACGGGGGTACAGAGACAAGTGGGGGTCTCAGCCAGCCACTGAGAGGGTCACTGGGAATGCACACCACCTGTGAGAGGTTGCATTATTCAATGGGGTTTGCAGAAGGGGCCTCTGTGTTTTGGACGATTCAGAGAGGAGCAGAGGGTGGCTTCTCCTTGAGGCAGAGGTCTGGGTGTGGACAGTTTACTTTGCTCTGAACCTCCAAAATGGCATGAAAAGCCACCAGATAAGAAAAGCCAAGAACAAAAGCCTGAAAAACCAGGTTCCATAACACCCAGTCCCATGATAGGAACCAGGGCAAATCCACCCAACTGGATTAACTGAAAAACAACACAGCAGAACCCTCCCTGCAGAAGACAAGCTGAAAGAACTAGAGGACACAACACAAGGGTCCCCATAAAACTATAAAAACCCCAACACCAGAGGAATACCATTTATTAAGCCCTGATACTGCCTCACAGCCTTATATTTCTGAGATAACAACTTTTCTCTCTCTTTATTTTTAATTCTTTCTCATGATTCATGCTTTTTGCTGTTGTTGTTTTGTTGTTGTTCTAACCTACTAACCATTTCAACTAGATGTTTAATTAATACAACATATTCCATAGTAACATTTTAACTTGAATGTTTCATACATATACTTTTTTCTTTTTTTCTCATATAGATAGATAGATAGATAGATAGATAGATATAAGCTTCAATGTAGTCCTTTATTCCCTATTCAGTAATACCTTTACATACATACCACTTTTAATTTCTCTGTATATCTGGTAAGTTGAGTTCTCTAACAAAGATAACAAAATACACCCAGGAAGAACAGAAATGGGCATTCCTTGCCCACACTGAGGGATTATAACCACCTTCCAATCATCCCTCCTTGTTATTTATTTATTTATTTGTCTTTTTATTTGTTTGCTTGTTTTTATTTTGTACTTTATAAATATTACTCTTGGGGCTCTTTTGGCTGGAATTGTTTTTTGTTTCTTTTTTTTCTCTTTCTTTGTCTTTTTCTTTTTCTATTTCTTTTTCTTTCTTTTTGGTGGTGACATCTGTTTGCTCCGAACCTTCCCAGGTGCTTCTTGACTGGATAGTGATTGATATTTTTGGCTGTAAATCCTCTCAACCACAACTCAACAGAATGATGAGGAGGAAGAACTCCCAACAAAGAAAAGGTCCAGAGACAATGGCCTCTCCCACAGAACTAATAGATATGGATTAAAGCAGGAGGTCAGAAATAGACTTCAGGGTAGCAGTTATGAAAAAAGGCCAGAAAAAAACTGTTAATGGCAACATAGATTCATTAAGGGAAGAAGTGAGAGCAGATTTGGCAGAACTTAAAAATGCTATCAATGAGATACAATCTAATCTAGATACTTTAACAGTTATGGTAAATGAGGTAGAAGAAGGAATTTGTGATCTTGAAGACAAACTGATAGGAAAGAAGGAGCAGAAGGAGGCCTGGAACAAAGAGCTTAAAGTCCATGAAAACAGAATTAGAGAAATAAATGGTGCCATGAAACGTTTCAATGTCAGAATTATTGGGATCCCTGAAGGGGTGGAGAGAGAGGGGGGACTAAAAGATATATTTGACCAAATTGTAGCCAAGAGCTTCCCCAATCTGGGGAATGAAAGAAGCAATCCTGTCCTAGAGGCAGAGAGGACACATCCCAAAATCAATGAGAGCAGACCAATGCCCAGATATGTAATAGTAAAACTTGCAAATCTTAGAATGAAGGAGACAATTTTAAGTGCAGTTGGGAGGAAGAGATTCCTTATGTAAAGAGGCAGGATGATCAGAATAACGTCAGACCTGTTCACATCAATCTGACAAACCAGAAAGGTCTGAAAAGACATATTCAGGTTGTAAATGAGAAGAATATGCAGCCAAGAATTCTTTACTTGGTAAGGCTGTCATTCAGAGCGGATAAAGAGATAAGAAGCTTGCAGGACCTGCAGAGGCTGAAAGAATATGTGACCACTAAGCTGACCCTGTAAGGGGGTTCTATTAAAGGAGAAAGACCCCAAGAGTGATACAGAACAGAAATATACAGAGATAATCCATAGAAACAGGGACTTCACAGGCAACACGATGACAATAAAATCTTATCTGTCAATAATCCCTCTCAATGTGAATGGCCTAAGACAATGGAATGTCCTTTTCCTTGCAGTGTTGAGTATCCCATCTACACATATGTGTTTCTCACCATGCAGAAGGGAGAATATAAGAAAGAAGCTGCTTAATATACACACAGAACAGTATTTATAGGGAGTTAATCAAGTGCGTAGTCAGAGTAGAAAAAGTCATGGAGGGATGTCTGGCACAGTCAGTTAAGTGTCTGATCGGGTCATGACCTCAAGGTCATGAGACCAACCCTCTGTCCAGCTCCATGCTCAGAGCCAGCTGCTAACACTCTCTCTTCCTTGCTCTCTGTCCCTAACCCCTTCTTTCAAATAAACAAATAAATCTTAAAAATAAATACCATACACTAATGATGATAATAGCTTTGCAATACAGCTTTACATCCAGAATTGTGAAGCCTCAGGCTTTGGTTTTCTTTTTCAACATTATTTTGTCAATTTGGGTTTTTTTTTTTTTCATATAAATTTTAGGATTCTTTGTTCTAGCTCTGTGAAAAATGGTGATGATATTTTGACAAGGATTGCAGTGAACCTGTAGTTGCATTGTGTAGGATAGATTTTTTAAGAATATTTGGTCTTGGGGAGCCTGGGTGGCTCAGTTGGTTGAGCGACTGCCTTCAGCTCAGGTCATGATCCTGGAGTCCCGGGATCGAGTCCCGCATCAGGCTCCCGGCTCCACGGGGAGTCTGCTTCTCCCTCTGGCCTTCTCCTCGCTCATGCTCTCTCTCACTGTCTCTCTCTTCTCTCAAATAAATAAATAAAATGTTTAAAAAAAAAAAGAATATTTGGTCTTGAGGAAATTGAGAGGCAGGGCAGGGAACAATGGAGGGTCGGGAGGGAAAAAAATAAATAAAATGGAATCAGGAGGGAGAAAAACCATAAGAGACTCTTAATCTCATAAAATAAACTGAGGGTTGCTTGAGGGTGGGAGGTAGGGATAGGGTGGCTGGGTTGTGGACACTGGGGAGTGTATGTGCTATGGTGAGAGCTGTGAAATGCGTAAGCCTTACATTACACATTACACAGATTTACAGACCTGTACCCATGGGGCAAATTATACGTTATATGTTAATAAAAAAATAAAAGAATATCAGTTCTTCCTATCCATGAGCATGGAATGTTTTTGATTTCTCTGTATCTTCCTCAATTTCTTTCATGAGCGTTCCATAGTATTCACAGTACAGATTCTTTATCTCTTTGGTTAGGTTTATTCCTATATCTATTATGTTTTGTTGTTGTTCTTGTTTTTCTTGTTGCAATTATAAGCAGGATAAATTCCTTGATTTCTATTTCTTTTGCTCATTGTTAGGATACGGCAGTACAACTCACTTCTGTGCTTTGATTTTATATTCTGCGCCTTTCCTGAATTCCTGTGTGAGTTCTAGCAAATTTTTGTTGGAATCTTTGGGTTTTTTACATAGACTATCATTGTTGTTTGTGAAGAGTGAAAGTTTAGCTTCTTCTTTGCTGATCTGGATGCCTTTTATTTCTTCCTGCTGTCTGATTGCTGAGCCTAGGACCTCCAGTACTATGTTGAACAACAGTGGTGAAAGTGGACTTGTCTGTCGTGTTCCTGACCCTCTTATACTGTTAGTGGGAATGCAGTCTGGTGCAGACACTCTGAAAAACAGTATGGAGATTCCTCAAAAAGTAAAAATATATGGCTAATTTATGACCCAGCAATTGCATTACTAGGTATTTACCCCAAAGATACAAATGTAGTGAGAAGAACAGTCATAGGCTCCTAAATGTTCATAGCAACAGTGTCCACAATGGCCAAACTATGGAAAGAACCCAGATGTCATCAAGTGGTGAATGGATAAAGAAGATGTGGTATATATAGAATGGAGTATTATTCAGACATCAAAAAGAATGAAATCTTGCCGTTTGCAATGATGTGCATGGTACTAGATGGTATAATGCCAAGCAAAATAAATCAGCCAGAGTAAGACCAACACCATATGATTTCATTCATATGTGGAATTTAAAAACAAAACAAAT